AAATAAGACTTGTGACAAGTCTATTTCCTATACTAAAATGCATGAATTCATTAATACGAGCATATGTTTGATATGTTACATGTGTGTTATTGATTGTTGCATGTGTTAATGATATGTGTGAATACATGTTTATATGATACAAGTTCAGTGTCCATGGTATATGTACACATGATAATATGATATAAGTTAAATTATGTATTATGATACATAACTATAAGATAAGTGAAATAATGTATATATGATAGAGATTATGTATGAGATATATGAGAAGAGATAGATGTGATTAGGTGAAAAAATACAAACATATATTAAGCCATGTTATATGTGATAAATGAATGATATGAAAAGTGAGATAAGTTATATGACATTGATATATAGTTTAGATGAAAGTATACACATGAATACATGTATAAGTTTATATGTTATTTTATATGCTATGGGATATACCCATGAACATATGTGATATGATATAAGCTATGAGACATGATCTACGTGATTACATGTATATGTGATGCATGTTAAACGATATGAAATAAATGTTTACACATACATTTGGTATGCGATAGAAGAGAATGATATTTGAATATGGGAAATAATATGAAAGAGAATGCCCATGTTATGTGAAAGGAGGGCTGGAGGTATAGTTGGTATGCCAAGAGTCGAGGGTTACCTATGTCTTTTGAGACATATGGACAGAATTACCTATGACTTTCAGGACATATGGACAGAATTACCTATATCTTTGAGACATATGGACAGTATACCTATGTTCTAAAGAGCATATGGACAGTTTACCTAGGTTCTTCGGGACCAATGGATAGTTGTCGAGGTTCTTTATGATCTCTGGATAGGTCCTTCGGGACATTTATACAAGCTGTGGTGACAGTGTAGTGCACAACCTCAATATACTCACATATCTATAGTTCTCACATGTGTACATGGGCTAATAAAGAGATAATCCTAAATATAATGTAAGTACTATATATAATTTGTGATATGAATTGTAGAAATTGTTATATGTGTGTTATGAGTGAATGCATCTGTGATAAGTATGAATTATAAGATATATGATAAAAGCATAAGAGATTATATGAACAAGAGATAAGAAATATGAATGATAATAGGGTGGGAATATGATATAAACATAAATGATACATGTATGTATGTATGTACTTACTGGATGAAAAGCATATGAGTTGCATGGTTATGATAGCATAAATTATTCATGAATGGTTAGTGTATGTGAATTATATTAGATGAGTTTTTATGCCTCACTAAGTCATAATACTTAGCGTGTGATTGTTTCACACGTAGGTTACAGAAGCGATAAGAGAAGCGAATAAGAGCAAGACAGGTCAGCATCTCCCTTACCAAATTTCAGATCAGAAAATAGATGATTTAAATGTATTTGGTTATTTTGAATATAGTTGGCATGTACTAATTGATTGAGTTGAATATGCTTTGAATGGTTTGTAAAACAATTTGATAGTATTAATTACTGTAAAGTAATTATTTTCTCAAATTAAGAAATTAAGATATTTGTGGATTTGTAAAGAATAGAGTTTTGAAAAGTTAATGTGATACCTCAGAATCGGATCAGGGTCGGATATGGGTTGGGGTGTTACTAATAGTTCTAATCAACGATCTAGTTACTCTTACAATTCACGAACCAATGGTAGAGGTCGAGGCAGATCCAGAGTTCAGTGCCAACTCTGTGGAAAAGTTGGCCACCTTGTTGATCGATGCTGGTACAGATTTGACAAAGACTTCTCCTGTGTCACTTATGCTCATCAAGGTCAATACTATTCTTAGTACAAAGTGGTCCCTCCTTCTAGCAGCTTTACACGTTCATCTGCTGATGATGGCTGTGAATATTGTGCCAAGAAATGAAATTGCTCAAATGCAGGTGATCAACCACAAGTTCATGCAACTTCTATGCAATCTGAGCGTTGGGTGGTTGACACAGGCGCCACACATCATGTTACTGCAGATGCCAATAAGGTTCTGAATTCTTCTGAATATCGTGGTCCAGGTAAACTTTTAATTGGGAATGATATGCCTCTCGATGTTGCTTTGGTTGGCTGTGCTCACGTAAATACCTCCTCACGTGTACTTTTCTTGAATAATTTGCTGCATGTGCCACAAATAACAAAAAATTTGCTTTCTGTTTCGAAGCTTGCTAAGGACAATGATGTCTTCATTGAGTTTCATGCAAATCGATGTTGTGTTCAGGATTAAGTGACTGGAATGTTGCTACTTCGAGGAGAAGAAACTGATGGTATGTATTCATTTGCCATGGATAAACCCCTAGAGGTTAATGTTGCAAAAGAAAATGCCAGTCATGATTCAACTCGATTAGATGAGTTATGGCATCGGCGGCTTGGCCATCCAGCTGTTGAGACTTTATCAAAAATAGCTTATAAACTAGGTGTTAAAATTCATCCTCATATAAATAAAGAATGTGTTGCATGCCATGTAGGCAAAAGCCATAAACTACCTTTCAATGAATCCAGTACAATGGTAGATTCCTCGTTTGAACTTGTGTATTCAGATTTGTGGGGACCCCCACATGTGTCCTCCAATGGATTTAAGTTTTATATCTCTTTGTGGATGCGTTCACTCGTCACACCTGGATTTACCTATTGAAACATAAAGATGAAGCATATTTAGCATTCCAACTGTTTCATAAACTTATAGCTAACCAGTTTGGGAGTACTATCAAAGAACTGCATACGGACTGGGATGGTGAATTTCGCAGTATTTCACCTTTATTGGCTCGTGATGGCATTATGCACAGGCTCACGTGTCAACACACCTCTGAGTAAAACGGTGTAGTAGAGAGAAAACAATGTTATATTGTTGAGCTAGCGTTAGTGCTGTTAGCCCAGGCATCTTTACCAATCAAGTATTGGTCATATGCAGTTACCTCTACTATACATTTAATTAATCGCCTACCAACTAAAATATTACAAGATATGTCACGTTTTGAAAAACTATTTGGCTAGAAACTTGAGTACTCTATGATGAAGGTCTTTGGTTATCAATGCTTCCCGCACCTAAGAATGTTTCAAAAATACAAATTATCATTCAGATCACAAGAATGTACTTATTTGGGAGTTAGCCCTCATCACAAAGGCTTTCAATGCTTGGCACCCGATGGACGAGTATATGTTTCTCGTCATGTTGTGTTTAACAAATCTATTTTTTCGTTTGCAGGGAAAGGAAGTTGTGTTCCCCTAGATTCTACAGTCAATCCGAATGCTCAGTCACTTTGGATTGTTACAACATTCAGAAACTTCTGCTGTTAATCTCCACGACACTTGTCTAATACAACTAATGTGCATGAAGAGGATGATAGTGCAGAGGTTCCCAATGCACTTGAGACAGGCAATGACGAACCCCAGCATGTTCCAGATGACATCGTGCAACACACATCTAATGTTACTATCTCAACAGAGGCTGCATCTGATGCAGAAGTTGATATGGGTGCAGATGCTGGTAGTGTGTCAGATAATGATACACAAGGTAATATTTCTGAGCGAGACGGTAATGCTCATATCGTATCTGAACCTGCTGGTACCTCTCAGACTCGAGTCCATTATATGATACTCGTAATCGATATGGAATTTTCAAGCCAAAGGTGTTTTCGAGTATCATGAATGATGATGATGTTCCTAATACGATTGATGTTGCTCTTCAATCCCCTCACTGGGCTGCAGCAGTACATGAAGAGTACAAAGCTCTAATTAATAATGGTTGGACATTAGTTAGACTTCTAAAGACAGAATGACAGTGGGATGTAAATGGTTATTTCGTATTAAGCACAACCCTGATGGTTCAATGAATATGTATAAATCACGATTGGTGGCAAAAGGTTTTTCATAGGTTTCAGGCCAGGACTTCAAGGACACCTTCAGTCCTGTAGTTCATTTTTCAATATTCAATACAATATTAGCTGTAGCAGTCTCTAATGGATGGGAACTTCGACATATTGACATCAATAATGACTTCCTCAATAGAGATCTGTCCGAGGAGGTGTACATGCAACAACCTCCTAGGTTCGAGCAAGAAGGCGATTGTAGCCAACCTCTAGTGTGTAAACTCAAGAAGGCGCTTTATGGGCTTTGACAGGCACCCCGAAACTGGCGTGCCAAACTTAAGGAAAATCTGTTGTAAATGGGGTTTATAGTGTCTCGAGCAGACTCGTCCTTGTTTATTCAACAAACTAATGGCAGTTATACCTATGCTCTAGTTTACGTGGATAATATAGTCATCATAGGACAAAATACCAATGCTACAGAGAACGTTGTTTCGATGCTACAAAGTCGATTATCGCTAAAGGACCTAGGGGTGTTAAGCTTCTTCCTAGGAATTGAGGTCAAACATCACAATAACTCAGTTGTTCTGAGTCAAAGAAAGTACATCCTAGAACTACTGGAAAAAACGGGAATGTTAAATGCAGCAAGTTGTGCTACACCTATGGTCGTATCTCTTAAACTCTCTCATGAAGAGGGTGAATTAATTCAGAATTCTAGCGAATACAGAAGTATAGTTGGTTCACTGCTATATATTTGCCACATAAGACCTGATATTTCATTCAGTGTGGGACAAGTTGCTCAATATATACATGTACCAAGAGAAACTCACTTTGTTACAGTGAAAAGAATATTGCGCTACCTATCATCAACACTTAATTTTAGACTTCTATTCTTACAAGCTGGCAATGGGTTGGATATAACTGCCTTTGCTGATGCAGATTGGGGTGCCAGCATTGATGATAGGCGGTCTATCACTGGATATGGGTATTCCTTGGCAAGTGTCTCGTTACTTGGTGCTCAAAAAAACAAAGAACAGTCTCTCGATCCACGATGGAGGCTGAATACAAGAGTGTAGCAGACACAGCTGCTGACATAACATGGGTTCAAGCATTACTGTCTGATCTTGGCATTCATCATAATCACAAGCCAATAGTCTAGTGTGACAACACCAGTGCTGTGGCCATGAGCGCGAACCCGGTATACCATGCTCAGTCCAATCACATTGACCTTGATGTCCACTTTGTGCGTGAGAAAGTAGCAGTAGACCAGCTAAGCGTCAGTTATGTCTCAGCCATGCATCAAATAGCAGATGGCTTCACCAAGCCACTGGCCAGAACTACATTTGAAGAATTTCGATCCAAAATATGTGTTCATCAAGTCTAATTCAGAAGACGAGAAGGAGCAAGGAGAACATTAGCAGTATGAAGCAAGTCCTGCTTGCCACGTTGAATGTACCAAGCTGGCAGTTGCCTTTTAGAGGAAGTTAGGCAGTTAGGAAGCTGTTGAGCTTGCTGTTAAGAGTGGTTATTCTGTTGATTACTTGTGTTGTATATAAACATAATCAGTGTATTGTAATCAGTGAATTAATAAACACTTTCTGCTTTCTTTACTCACATCCTAATAACATCTGACGGTGAAATGGGCGCAGAGATCAGATGAAGTCTTCATTACCATTGAACTTCCCGATGCTCAGGACGTGAAGCTTAGACTGGAGCCTGAAGGCAGATTTTTATTCTCTGCCACAAGTGGAGTGGACAAAATTACCTATGAAGTTGATTTGGATCTGCATGACAAAGTCGACGTCGATGTATGTCGACAGCTAAAGTCTTGATTCTTATACTTGACCTCTATATCGTTTAGTATTGTGTCAGTGATATGGCTTACAGGGAAGCAAGGCTGGTGTTGGAAATAGAAATATCACTTACCTAGTGAAAAAGGCCGAGAGCAACTGGTGGAATAGATTGCTGAAACAGGAAGGGGGACCTCCTGTGTTTTTGAAAGTCGATTGGGATCGACTGGTCGATGAAGATGAGGAGGATCAGGACACTAAGCGTAAGAACTACTCCCTCGATTCTTGTATGTTTTCTTTCACTGCTTTATTTTCATGAAGGGATTCACATTCATTCTTTTAGTTCGTCTCAAAGTGGTTTTCTGTTACCAGCCGGACCTGATATGGACTTTGGTGGCTTCGACTTTTCCATGAGTTGCAGTGTTATCACCAAATATGTGACGATTAGTGTTTGTCTAAATTGTACTTGGCACCGTTTGCTTCTATCTCATTCTTGTTTCAGAAGATGAACATGGGTGATGGTGAAGGCTTTGATGCGGTAGAAGGTGAGTTTGTATATTTGCTGTCGGAATATCGAGTTGGTTGCGTTTTAAAAGAGATTATATCTCCGTAGGAATTCAATGTATCTCAATGCGTTCTTGCAGATGATGACGTGATACAGAAGATGAAATTGTGGAAGAAATATCAGCTTCGAAGAAAGATGCCTCATCATACGGTGCTGAACCTGAAGTCAAACGTTTAGAGCAACATGTTCGGCTTGCAGTCGTATATTTGGCCGAGTCAAATGCTTCAAGCTACATAACAATATTATGTATGCTTTTATTTTATTTTTTTTTCGTTTGTTGAACACCCTTTTTAGTGGAGATTGAGGGGCTTTCTTTTTTTCGCCAATGAAGGAATAATTTTCAAGTATAAGGTTTTAGTTGTGCGATGTTGCCTGAAATGATGGTCATTTGTAGATGGAGATGTTATTAACCAAAAAAAACTCATCAGAAAGAACACATCATGTATTGTTATAAAAGCAGAGTCAAAATAAGTCAACCATACATACAGTCATTTGCATTGATCTGAATATATCCCATACGCAGAATATTCTGAGGTCACTCGAGTAAAGCAAACATGACACGAACTTCAACTTCAGATGGCATTAAACCCACATCAACTGGTAGGCAATCTCATCTGCACCACATCATTAGACGGCCGTAATTGCAAACCATCTCTCTCGTCTTTCCAAAGTAGACCTGCAAAATATGTAAATATTTTGGCCCGTAGTACCAAACTCAAAATTATCAATGTTCAAACATGCAAAGGCAGTTCAGATAATGTAGTAGACGCACCTGATCCAATGAGTTCCGGAGCTTACCCTCCATTTCTTCTATCATCTTTCCCATGTTAGAAAGATGACCATCGGCTACTGGGAGGTTCATATTCATCTACGGACAAAAAAGGTAACAGGTGATAAGGGTCGTTTAGACCTTGACCGGAACTTCACATTTGAGTGCAGAAACAAGGGAAGGATGATAAGCCATAGGGAGGGAAGGATGATAAGCCTTAGGGGAACTGTAATGTAAATACATTAACTAAACAATATCCGCTCAGTCCATAACACATCAGTATCAAACAATAAAAACCAAATTGGACACCATGTTTTAAGACTCAAGTAAAAAGGGACTCAATGAAACTCAAAAGATGGCCTTAAAGCGTCACATGAAACATGAAACTGAGGGAATAGCATTTGAGGTAAGATTGATTTGCTGCTGACATGGTTCACTAACAAATCAAACAGGGAGTACTGACTGAAAGAATTCAAATTCTGATATTTAACTTTACAAAGGCAATTCGCAAACAACTTTGTATCTAAGTTTATTGCGCCCAGGAGTTATGTTTATCTGACTCCTCACTTTTGTTGAAACACCCATATCTAACTTATGTCCAACATATACCCGTATTTGACACTTACACCCAAGTCCAAGCAACATAGTTCCATTCTCGGATTTCAAATGATCAATACTAGTTATGAACCATTTTTTTTCTGATAGATCTAACCAATCATCGCTTGCGACATCCAAGATCATCAATTCAACGGCATTTGGTGATCAAGAACTTCCTAAACCTGTTTCCACATCCCAGTGTTTCCAAAATTGAAAAGATAGTAATGGATAGTAAAAAAGAGTTGAAGTATCTATGGAGTACAAACCACGTTCAGTGACATAAAGCTGCATTCTCCAGCAGTTTATTTGCTTTCCACAAGGTGAAATCTTAAACTCTACATGTTATTAGAAAATCCCACAAATTACCTGTCGTCTGATAGATCCAGACAAACTGAAAGTGCCTGATGACACATCATATGTAGTCAAAGACAGTATGACTGTACTAGTCAAGCAATATCAGGTAAATTCTTCTTCTGGTCCAACCTAAATCAAAGGTTAGAGTGCAACATTAGCAAGAGAATGCAGAATAAAGTAACAAGCTTACTGTCCATAGGGGAATAAAGAGTAAACAGATAATAATAATAATAAGAAGAAGAAGAAGAAGGAAGGAAGAAAGAAAGAGAAGGGGAAAGAGAGACCTGAGATAAGAATGAAAGTTCTACATCCCTAATTGTATAAAGCCATTGAATTCACCTCTACAACGTGAATAGCATCCCAAGTTCCCTCCTCTAAATAACCTCTTCTCCCTTGCCCAGTCTTTGAGCCATCTTTCTCCAAAAGTCAAGGATAGCATATCAGAAGGACTAACAATGGTTACGGGCTTTATTTGGGGGAAAAATAATCTGCTTACCTTTCTTTACCAAAAAGCAGGCTACAAAACCTTCGTTGTCATCTTCCTACATATAGACAGATGAGATGCCACCTTCATAATACCTATTGTGTAATTAGTTAAACATAAACAAATAATTTAAAAAATATATATTGCATACAATAAATGCATTAAAAAATCCAACTTGATGGAGCTACACCTTAAAACCCAATATCCAACCACAATAAAAAGAAAAGCATGAAACAGAATAGAGGTCAATTGTAATCAAACCCACACTAATAGAAAATTAATAAACAATGCACGACATAAGTAAGAACCTCACTGGTCACAGTAGACCGTAAAGATTTCGTTAGCTTCAATTTCCAATTGCCTCAACTTTGAAGATGGATGAGGAGCATCTTCCAATGGTGGATGGTATTTGTTTGACCAAGGTGATCTACAAGCAGTACAATTGCACAAAAGAAAACCACAAATTTAGGGTTAGTCACAAAGATTAATTATAAATGAAAATTGCTACTCTTCAAGTAAAAAGAAGCTCAATGTAACTCAAAAGATGGCGTTAAAGCATCATATGTGACATGAAACTGAAGGAAGCATTTGATGTAAGATTGATTTGCTGCTGACATGATTCACTAACAGCTCAAACAGGGAGTACTGACTGAAAGAATTCAAATTCTGGATTGAGCATTTGTGTTAAGTTTGAGCAAATTATATGTGCAAATTCATTTCTTATAGATAATGAACATGCAAATACACACAAACTTGACAGAAATCACTGTGGCATAATTCTAATATTTCATAATGTTTATTCAACATCATGGTGATATGTGCAGTTTTCTAGATTTACATGCAAGCTTCTTCCACCATAAAAAATATACAACTGTTTTACATAAACATTCTGGAGGAAAATCTCCCAGGAGTGGCCAATATCTATAAATGTGTACAGTGCTATGGATTATACGTGCAAGCTTCTATAAAGATTTAGGGACAGACCCAACATAGGTAACTATTGATAATCCTCACCAAATTTGAATCTAAAAATTAAGAGACAATAAAAATAAACCCTCTAAAAGATTGTTAACATAACCATTATCGTTTAGGCAAGATAAATGAGAAGGGACCTTACTTTCCATTATTTTAAATCAAAACAAAATTCAATCAGGAAAGAACACAAAAACAGCTTACAAGAGCTTAGGCTACAATAGGAGAGGGAAAATTAAGTTCATGGTATATATAATCTATGTACTGATAGACTAATCAGAAGGGTAAAGCTACCTGAAAGAATCAGCGTCTCTGTTGTATTCGCACAAAATGAGCTTCTGCCCACTGTCCACATCAGATAAAACCTGTTTCAAAGGAAAATATGAAAATCTAATCATCATTTTGTTAAGGTGAAAATCAAATCAACTTATTCATCCAAATTAAGGGAACAAAACGAAATTGTTGTAATATGTTTGAGATCAACAAAACTTCTCTGGTAATAAAACACATATATATCAGTGAATAAGGTTGCATGTAACAAGTTGGCATGAGGGTACCCAATACCGCAGAATCAAATACTAGCAAAGGGAAATTGAAAAATTCCAGTAAAGGGCTGATTATTTATGATATGAAACTAAAACAACAACAGCCTATGTTATTTGATTTGAGAACAGTGCAAAAAAGAAAGCTGACAGCTTCGTAGACAAATATTAAAGTAAACTTAGGGATCTATAACATGGCAATTTTTATGAATGATGAATAAACATTCAAACACAGGAATAATTTTTTCTATGATATTTTTTTTTATAGGAATTTTCTATGATATTTATGAATCAAGACCATTATAATGAGCTTTTAATATGCAACCATCAAACAAGGGCGTCTCTTGGAGAACAATTTAAGTTCATGCAGTCAGTGGGAAAATGAGAAAGACGACAAAGATACTCAATCCCAAACCGTTTATTTGGTCAAGTTCCTTGGTTCCTCCCAATACACGGGAAAAGAGAATATCATTTGAAAACAATGGCTAAATAAATTTGTTTCATCACAACCTTAAGAAACTAAGTAGCCAACAGAAAAACGGTGAAATGCATTACTTTAAACGTTCAAAGAGGATGCCATGACTTTGAACTAGCATAGAGTGAAGAATGCATATAAAACATCAAGAATATCTTTACAAGACACAAAATTTTAAAACTTGTCATAAATAAATAAATGTTCAGCCCTTTTTCACTTTAAAACTTGAACTAACCAAACCTTAAATAAAACACATTATAACGTACGCACACAGATATGCAAGATCAATAAGTTGTTATTTTCTAAAAAAATGACATTGCTTTAGTTTTAGAACGCATATTTTGCTCTTTCCTTTGGGTTCCAACGGCAAAGGTAAAAAAAAAAAAGCAACTCCGGATAGATTTTGGCTGAAAATCTAATACTTAACTATCTTTCATAGTACATTTTCCTTAATGATATCAACATGGCTTTCTTGGGGGGAGAACGAACACTAAAACAATTGACAATTCAATGTTTACTCCATTTTTAACCAAACAAACTACCAAATACATTATTAAATCGTTTTCAAAAACAGAAATAAAACCTAGGAAATGACCAATTCGAGCAAGATTGAAGAGAGAAATCTCCAGAAATGAAGAAATTAAAAAAAAAGGAAAGAGAAAGGGAGAGACCTGGAGAGGGATATCGACTTGAAAGAGGAGATCGGAGGAGTGGCCAGGAAAAAGGCTTAAAAGAGCGGAAAGCGTTTTCTCGGAGTGGCGAGGCGGCATTCTTCGCATCAGTCCCAGCGCTGCCTCCATGTTTTTTCCGTTGCAATTTTCTGCCTCCCCTCCCAACTAAACTTATATTTGTACAATCCAAACAGCGAAAGAAAATGAAAGCAGATTATGTTCTTTTCCCTTTTTATATTTGGATTGAGTTCAATGCGAAAGAGACATAGATCTTAGCAGCAGTTTGAATTTGACAATTGAGGAGAATTTTTAAAAAAGAAAAGGAAAACAAGGTGTGGTTTATTTGATCCGGTCTCCCTCGCGGTAAGGTATCGCCTCTGTTTTTTTATTACACCTATATATATATATATATATATATATATATAATGGCTAAACTATACCAGTGACTGCAAAACTATTTCTCTTTTCTATTTTCACCACCATTGTTGAAATTATATTAATCAGATCACTTAACTATTTAAATACATTCAATTAAACCACTTATTGTTAATATTCAACGGAGAAACTGACGTTGCAGTTAAAAAAATTGGGGTAATTATACATTTGGTCATTTTTACTTATATATTGTATCAATTTGATCTTAATTTTAATAAATTAAAATATATTTAATATATTTAACAAGGTGAACACCTCTCTGACCATCTTCACTACCCCAAACAAACTTCATTAAAATGCTCTCTATTTCATTACATACCCGTCTTGGAAGAACAGTCGACTGCATTGTATAAACAGGTGCGGTAAGGAAAGATATCGTAAGCGTGACCCTCCCCGCAATCGAAAGTGAACGCATTTTTCATCCATTTAATCTCTCTCGAACCATCTGAATCAAATATTGATACGAGGCTGTTGTTATAACACGGTCATGTAACAAGAGAACACCCCAGGTATTTTCCCAGATCAGTTACTATTCTATAACCAAAAACAGCACTGATTTCTTCACGCTTCTCATTAGGAACATTTTAAAAAAAGCAATTGTGGTTTTCGAAATACTAACTCTCTGTCCAGGAGTATGCAAAATTTGGATAACACCGATCGAATAACCTTTATTTGCTCGGACGATGCTTTCGTAAAAAGGAGCATATCATCAACAAATAAAAGAACAAATATGTTTAAATATGACTTTTTAAAAAATAAAATATGTGTTATTATTACAACGAACACTTGGTAATACTTATCAAATTATTCTATCTCCAAATTTGGTTTAATTATTAAAAATTAAAACAAATGATAATATATAGCACACTTTCTTCATATTTACTTAAATGGTTTAAGATCAGTTACAATTTTTTATGTATTCATTATGTTATTTATACAAGATCAACATTTATTAAGTTATAAAAAATCAAAGTTATAGATATACAATTTTAAAGTTATTTTATTAAAATACTTTTCAAACAAGAACAAAGAACTTGAGCAAACATTTGTGATACTAATACCATGCATGCAGTAGTGTATGTAGCAATGTTTCAGTTATATAGCTTAGGGTTCATGAAGAGTATTAATAAAGATCTAAGGCATTAATAATTGGTACGAGAAATATCAAACGCCGCTGGTAAAAGTTGCAGTGCTTTCATGGTTATGCTTCCCCTCATATGTTGTTATCACAAACACCCCATCTTCTCCTTCCCTTTCCACCCTTTTCTTCACCTTGCATCCTTCCCTTGAGCACCGGTAGTAGTGCCTGCATAAAAATAATCCTTAGCTACTCCATTAATAATTATACATATATATTAACAAACTGCAAGCACAAATGATGATTGATGATGATGAAACTGAATTACATGCCTGCTCTAACTCGAACCTTACGAAAATGGGTATCATTAATAAATCTACATGAACCCCGGATTACCTTGGATTAGGGTTATTCTTAATCTTTTTCTTCCCATATTTTTTCCATTTGTATCCGTCATCCATCACCTCAAGTCCAGATTTGATTCTGAAGGCGATTTTAAACTTCTCCGCATCCTCACTCTCCATCGTCTTCTCATAACCCTCATTTCTGCAAATCAAAAAACCAGAATCAGTGATCAAATAAAGAAGAATAAAAATCAAACTACGTAAATACAGGAAGGAGATTCGTTTACGTCGGCAACATATGATCAACACGTGCGCTGTTGCTTGGAACCTGCCAGGCCCAGAATCCACCATTGACTGGAGAAAGAGTAGTGTAGGGTTTAAGATCAGAAGAGCTAGAGGCAGTTCCCGTACAAGTTTGGGGCTGATCGGGTAGAAGTAGGAGATCCTCAAAGTCTAGCTGATGACTGTTGAGCTCCATGGTGTGAGTGCAAATAGGGTTTGGGGTTGAAGATGGTGCGAGGAAGATGGTGGTGGTGATGTTGGAGCTTGACATATTGGAGTATTAGAAGGTGTGAATGGAAAATGAAAGGAGTTGGAAATTTCTTTGGTTTTCGACCAACTTTAAAATGAGAGAGCTTTGGACTCTACCCATGTATATCGTAAAAGGAAATGTTCATATCTTTGTTTTAAAGAGGTTTCATGGGAACTTCCTTGTAGAAGAAATCAATCCACATTCAAACTTCCACGTATTCAGACTTTTGCCTTACAATGTTTTGTGACCTACGAATAAAATATATCACCTTAATTGTGATTTACACACACTTATACCAACAATTCTTTTAGAGTAGATGATTAAAAGTTCTTAATTAATATTTTCCTTCTCTTTTAAGTTATGAGTTTGATACTCATTATAATCAAAATTCTTCTTCCTCTCTTTTAAGTAGGAATTGTTCAGAAATAAAAATATACAATTTTATTTTTCTTTTATAAAATGTTTAAGATTTTTTAAACAAATATTATATTATAACCAAAACTATATAAAAAATTATAAATCTAATTGTTTAAGTACAGAATATGTCTCCAGTGTTTACTTAATTAAATGTATTTATCATTATTTAATAAAAAATAATAAAACTAATTACAAAAAAAAAACAGATTAATGAGCAAAAATAAGATGATAGTTCTTGCTCCGCTCTGCCTGCCCTGTCTCCACCGTAATGAAAATGACAATTTTTTTTCGAGTCTCCAAATCAAAGACCAGAGGAGTGTGAAAAAGATGTCAAACTCAGAGATAGAGAGAGAAGTGGGAAGGTATCCCCATTCAATTGACTCAGAGTCTTGGATGAATCCACTGCATGTGGCTATATAATACCAAACTTGAGAAATACTACCAGCAATACCTTTTCGGTCAAACTATTCTTTGATGTGGGTAAATATACATTTTGGTACCTAAACATGGCCACTAGATTCAATTTGTTCCTTAAACTTTTTTTTTCAGTTAAGTACCAGAACTTGGCCTCAAGTTTCAATTTCCTACCTAACCTTTTGCTTTTCAACTAGGTACTTGAACTTAATATTTTTGGTTCAAATTGGTATTTAGAATTGGTTTTATGATTTAAACAAGTCATTTACCACCTTAAGTACCAATTTAGACTAAAAAGTCAAGTTCAAGTGTCAATCTTAACAAATAAGCCAAGTTTAGTTGTCGTATTGAACAGAAAAAACCTTTAGGTATCAAATTAAACGCTAAAGTCAAATTCAGATAATTAATTGAAAAAATATTTAAGTACTAAATTGAGTCTTATAAACAAGATCAGTTATCAAAAGATATATTTATCCTTTAATATTTATGCTTGGAGCAGGCTTTTTTGGGGAATTGAAGCAGATTATTATTTCCGCAATTCCGCTGTGCTTTCTTCTTCATTTAAAAAGTGGAGGGTTGTCCCACTAAAAACTGCTATTTGTCACTCCATGATATTGGCACATGATAAAAATTAAAAATAATTTAAACATATTTATTTATATAATAGAATGAAAGAGAAGATATTAAGATTTATGTAAACTTAATTATTAACCTACAAAATTTGTATATTATTTTATGATATTCTGCAAATGAAAAGTAATGTAAGTAACATGTAAACAAATAATTTGGCTCTACATTGGATTTATAAGGCCATTTACCTAAAATATATTATGAAAAACACAGAAAATGTTAACACAAATAACTTTTAAAATGGATCAGTATTTATATAATATATGTTTTTATTTTTATGTTATTTTATAATTCATGTTCATAAATTATAGTTATTTTTCAATAATATTGTTAAATTTATAATTTATCTTATCATTGTAATTGATATTTAATGATATATTTACCTCTATTTCTTAAATTAAAACATAATGACAAAATCATTAAATGTATTTTATCTTAATCTGTAATATAATTTTAAAATTAAACCAGTCTAAAGTAAGTATATTTAGTCAAATGATTAAGTTGTTTATTTTTATTTTTTTTATATTTCTTTAAATCTCCTCTCCTCTAAGTAAGGTTATGATTAAGATTTAGAATTTTTTTTCAAAAAAAAATTAAAACTATCTAAATTACTCAAATCTTGTCTCACAATATGTAAACATTGATATATTGCTACTCAAATATAAATTATTTTTTATAATTGGGATTTACATAAAAATTTACAGATTGTCCACTAAGACTGATAGTGATAGGATTCGAACTTGACCTTACAAGCTCAAATTCTTGAATCTCAACCATTGTACCAACGCTCATCGGCTCAAATATAAATTATTAAAAGATAATAAATCACCATAATTCGTTGAAATTATAATAATAAGAACTAGTGAAAATAAACATGATCCTAAAATCACAATTTGGCATCTATGTAAACATTTCACGTCAAATTTGTTGACCAAATTTGGGACACCCATTAATGAAATTACCAAGTTAATTGGATTTTAAAAATTTTAAAAAAATGTAAAGTGGGTGTGGTGGTTTCGTAAAAATACTGGCATTGCGCAAATACTGAGGGGAGACCGGAGATTGGGAGCAACAACATGCATGAGAAAGGCATGCATGCCCTCCTTGACAAGGCATTGAAAAAAATCTCCCTCGTCCACTCTTACTCGCCCAACTTACAAATTTATCCAAAAATACATAGATCAAGAGATATATTCAGTACAGTTGTTTATCATATAGTTCGAGTGTTTTTGTATTTATTATTGATGATCTAATTTTATTTTTATAAAATTTTATAAATTTATATTTTTAATTTTATAAATATGACTTTTAACAAATAATATAGAATCTCTGTTTGATCATTGTATATATGATTAGTACTGTAAAATTACTGGTTTAGTAGTTTTAATATTATTTTTGTACATCATGATTCATGTGTGAAACGTTCTATCATCTGTTTGATCAAGAGATTCTCATGGGAATGGAATCCACATTCTCCCGTTTGGTTGGTCGGAATGTCATTCCCGGTAATTTTACATTACCGATAGTGGATTACCGGCGTTTTGGACTAAAATGCCCTTAAAAAAATTTCTTTCAAAAATATCATTATTATGTAATTGAATAATCAAATTTCTACGAAGATTAAATTACAAATTTATCCTTAAACTATTTTAGATTTACAAAAAAATTATATAATTAACATTTTATATAAAGTTCAGGAGTTAAAATAAAAGTTTACCCTTTCATTAAATCTTTTTATATTTTTAATTTTGTAAAAAAAAATTATATAAATTTTATGAATTTAAATTTTTTAAATAAAATATATAAATATTTTCCAACTTGTTAAAAAATATATATAATAAGGACAATTTGGTCAAATATATATTCCAATAATCTTTTATTCCTTTAACATAACACGATAATTTTACATTCATGCTAAACCAACTAAACACAAAATACAACATTCCCAGTAATCTTATTCCTGATAATCTTACATTCCGTGAATCAAACGCACAGTAAAATCAATCCCATGCAACGTGGTTGCTTAATTAGAATTCTGGAGCTCTTTTATTATGCCATACACATTAGACGAAAATGGAGTTAAATAGTGATTTAACCTTTCAATTATAATCTTATTTAATATTGTGGGTTTTCGAGAATATATTTTATTAATTTAACCATGGAATCGTGTGTGATATTTTAACCTTTTTTTTTATCAATTTGGTATATATTTGATCCAGTAATATGGCATTTAAAAAATATATGACTAATTTGGTACTAATTATCTTTCACTGTTGTCGTCAAATATGAGTAACATCGATTGGTGAACCAATGAATGACCAAAGTGTGACATGTGATTTAGAAGAAAAAAAATTAAAATATCTTTTAACGTGAAATTTTACGTCACTCAAATGATTGACAAAGTTCAAACAAAAAAAATTACGTGAAATTGTTGTCAAACTGGCCCAGTTAGAAGTAGGGGTGTACAAATCTGGGTATCGATTTTCGGGTACTGAAATTTTCGGGTTGACGATTTTTCAGCCTGTGTCTTGACCCGGTTATTACGGGTATCCGGTAATCGGGTATTCGGATTTTGTGGGTATCCGATAATCTGGTACCCGATACCCAGTTTTTAATTTTTTATTTTTAAATTATTAATTTAAAAAAAGATATACACAAATTTAAATATTCGAAACTTCGAATTACATACTCTAATATCCGAACATAAAATTTAAAAGTTCAAAATACAAAATATAATAATTCATAATATAAATAATTCATTATATTTTATATAATTATATATAAAAAATTAAAAAAATAAAAACTAACCGGGTACTCGGGTACCCGGAAAAATTAGATTATGTGACCTGGGCCTGACCCGAGAAATGTCGGGCCAGGTAATTTTTTTTAGAGAATTATCCCATTTTTTTAGATCGGGTCGACGGGTCGGCAAGTCGGGTCCACCGGATCGGGTAATTTTGCACACCTAATTAGAAACTGTAGTAATGGGCTTTTTTTAAATATTATTATTATTATTTGGTTTATAAATTATCATTTAGACTTCTGCTGGTAAGGAATATTTTTATTTTAAACTACTTTTATAAAAATGAAAGGAATATTTTTAAATGAAAGGAATATTTTTAAATATTATATTGTTATAAAAAAATTACTAATATAATTAAAGTCAAAATAGTTCAAGCTAATAATATTTTAAAGGATAAATACACGGTGACCACCTAACTATGGTTAAAAATTATTTTAACCACCAATATTTCACTTTAATCAATTCGACTATCTAATTTTTTAAATGTTTCAATCAAACTACTCTCTGTTAAAAAACTAACGTGTCTAACGTGAATTTTCCGTAACCTTTTTTATTTCCATGTTGGATATGCATAAAACCACGTTAGAATCCCACATAAGAAAAAAACTCCCTTTGTTGTTATTTAAAGTAACCCTATCTTCTTATTTCAAAATTTCCTCGTTCTAAAAACCCTAAAGTGGTTGATGAAATAGAAGAAACAAAGAGTAAAGCGAAGGAAAAAGAAGAGTAAAGAGAAGGCTGAAAACGAAACATGGAT